CATCACGGTTTCGGGGTGTGACACATACATACTATAACTACAACAGAAAAGAACATGCATACTATAACAAGAACAGAACAACTAGAATGTGAAACACTATTTCATGGCATAACAATATACTTGTTGTGTCACGTTTTGTAACCAGAGTCTACTGAAGGGAGAGCGTGAGTTTGTGTATAGATCTATACGGGATTGACCATCCTACACCTTGCTACTAGCTACAGTGGGACCTACAGGTCTACGGGTGACAAATGTCATACCATTTTCGACGTCTGAAGAACGTCGTGTTTTATACTAGTCAATCAAGCATGGTTATAACCTAATCACATTTTTAACCTTAATTAAAAATTTGGTTGTAAGGTAGTTAGTGCTTCAGTAGAGTATTTTTACACCACACTACTGTACATCTTCATTTTCCATTACATTCATACTGTGATATTCACACATTGAGAAATGCAAACTATTTTCTAGTAAAGATAGTCATAAACTTGGAAAAACATACATTCTTACGAGAGAACAAGCATACAAAACAGTCGAGTCTTGGTAGAAGGCTACTTTTCATTTAAGTAGAAAATATAGGATTTTCTGGAAAGATACAATCATTTTTACTTTACATATACAAAATTTTTCGTGAAACTAATGCAAACATGTGACACAAAAATACTTATGCACTCACTCAACTTTTATGTTGATACTCTCTTTCAAAATAACTTGTATTCTCAGGTCACCAGTAGACAGGTACATATGACCAGGTTTTTGAGAAGACAAAGCATATTCAAGACTCGTCATTATTTTGTTGATTTCATATTTTGGTGTCTTACAAACTTTACACATAACACACTTGTATTAACTATATTATTAATGCAATAGATGATGTTGTTGCTCCTTTTACTATTGTGCATTGTTATGATACTGTACATGACGTCCTCCGCTCCCGAACGTTTCCGCCGTTCTAGTTTAGGGGTGTGACAGAAAATGATAAAACATAAATTACATTTTTCTTGAAAACGTTGATTTCATCAATGTCAGTGTTAATGAAAAGCTTTGTCACAGGGGATGATCTAATAAAAAAAAATCGTATAAGTGTTATTTTAATTATTATAAAATAAAAATAAATATGAAAATAATTTTACCTCTCCAAACTTTAAGCATTGCAAATTGAAGGATAACAATGATACATAGATCGTGCAGATTGTTATCAATAAAGTCTTGCATTGTGTAAGCATAATGACCCCATAAAGTGACACAAATTATTAAACTGAGTCAAAGTAAAGGAAATAGAAGAACACACCTTTTGTTATGATAAATCACAATGAAGCGGTCAAAGAAGGTTTGAAACAGAATAACGTTTGCAAATAAAACCGAAAATTAGAATTGTGGATCGTCGATTGTGAATGAATAATATATGCATATGTACTTATTTGAACCTGATTATTTGGGATTTAAATTTCGAAAATTTTGAATTTTGTGCATTCCAGTTTTGTGTAGATTTTTAGTTTCCTTTTGTATTAGAGATATATTTTTGGTATAATAGAAATTAATTCAAAATTTTTTCTTATTTTCAGGGATATGATATAAACCGAAAATAATTATATTATTGAAGATTGAAGATAATTATATGAAAACCGAAATTGCACCAAATTCGGCAGCTGAAATTTAGGGATACGGATTTGATATTGATTGAGGAATTGAGTGGGAGAAAACAGAGAGAATTGATGGAGAGAATGCCACGTGGCAGAAGGCTGGTCTAAACGGTGGACACGTGACATCTATGAGAGATTTTTATTAAGAATTGAGATTGAGATATTCACTTTTTCCTTTTATTGATATGAAAATCTCTAATAATAAATAGGTTTTTTTTAACAATGAAATTTATTAGAGAGTGACCATCGGAGAGCTGAGAAACATAGAAAAAAAAACACAAACAAAATTAAGAAACTAAACTAAAGCAAGAAAGTAGAAAATGATGTTTAACATAACAAAAGAGCAAATGTAAACGGAAGGCAATGGAAGACTAGCAGAATTCGATAGTCCAATACTTCAATGACTCGGTCTCGAATGACACAATAACAATTTCATTGGATTTTAACGGGGCAGGCAAGGGACAAAATAAGAATTCAAGGATGATCTCTGTTCAAATTGTGATAAATAGACTTTATTTAGAAAAATCATACAACCACACAAATTATTTCTGTAATTTACTCTTTATTTTAAAAACTAAACTAGGCTTGAGATACTATTCAATTACCTATCTTAGTTTTCTATATTGAGAATGAAAAATATTTGGCACAAATTAAACATAATTCAGTTTACCTTAAATAACTCAAAACGGATTAAACTAAATCTTATTCGCTTTAGTTATGAATAATTTAGAATTATTAAAAATCTATTTAAACCGAACCAATAAACCAACTGAATGTTACGTGGCACATTAGCCTATCAAACATATCGAACCAAATCAAACACCACGTCATAAATAGTCAATTTGCAACAGAGAAATTGTACATCGTCATCCATGTCATCATTTTGATTTGGTTGTGGATTGTAGGGATGTCAACGGGACCAAACGGGAGCAGAAATAGCTGCCCCCGCCCCCGCTCCCGAAATCAGTTGTTGCCCCCGGCCCCCGGTCCCGCTCCCGGATCCCCCGTTTACATAGCCCCCGTCCCACCCCCAGTTACCTCAATCGCCCCCGGTCCCGCCCCCGTTCCCCCGGTTCCCCCAGTTTATAGGCTTAAAATTCGATTTTTTTTGCTAAAAAACTGCTTTGTTTTAGGCTTAAAAAAACTATTTTTAATAGCTTTAAAAGCTTAAAACCTAATCTTTTAGAAACTAAAAAATTAAAAATCCAACATTATGAATCCAACATTACAAAACGACAATTCCAACAATCTTACAAATATAAAATACGACAAATCCAAAATTACGAATATAAAATACTTACATGTCCAAAAAATATATGATCAATTCGTTACATCTTTAACATCCATTAATTGGAAACTGGAAAGTGAAACCTACACTAAACCTAAAATTAGAAATTTTATTTTGTATATGTATTTTATATTAAATATATATTTTTTACATAAATATACAACCGGGGCCCCCACGGGAGTACGGGACGGAAATACCGACTCCCGACCCCAGTCCCGAAAATAAACAGGGTTTAATTCTTCCCCCGTCCCCGCTCCCGCTCCTGTTTTTTTTAAAAAATTTAGTCCCATACGGTATCGGGGTCCCGCGGGAGCGTGGTCCCACTGGGGTTTTTGACATCCCTAGTGGATTGTCCTTAGAAAAATCTTTCTAAAAGTTTAGTATTTTTATTGGAAAACGAATTGTTTTAAAAGAAAATTTAGTATTATCTATATATGTAATTTTTTTCCCTTTTCTTTAACTTTGAAATACATTTTTTTATTAGCAAGTAAAATCAAGATTTAAAAAATATATTTAGTTGTTAATAAGTTAAAATAAAACTAGTATTTTTTTTAAAAAAATTTAACACATATAAGTCCTCTATTATTATTGTTTTTCAAATTTAAATATCATTGAGTGTATGCTGAATATAATTTTAAAATTATACTAATGAATGGTTGATAATGTTAACCTAAAAAAGTTTAAATGGAGGATAAGACTAGCAAAAAAGGGTATATATGCAAAGTGGGTGCACCCTCCATCAACAACGTTCTTTCCCTTTCTACAAGTCATATTGGCCATTTGGCCATTTTGAAACTTGTGGAAACTATGTCATGATACGTGGACACATTTCTTCCATCCACGTGTACAATGATTATCCTAACTCCAACTATTTAGGCCACATTTTTAACGTCTGGTTCTCATACTTCCCAACTTAAATGCTCTCATATAGACACACACACCCATGACGAATTCCACCCATGCCTTGCTATCTTATGCCTTTAATTTCTTTATAAATATCCATGTATATCTTCATTCCACATATAATTTAGACTTTTCAAAGAGCACTAAATGTTTATGTTTAAGCAATTTATGTAATAAAGTTGCTTCTGTATGAAATGTATAGTCACGTTTCATTCTACGATTAAAATATGAGACATTATACATTTAACATGCTTAACCAGTTGGAATATGCTTGTGTAATTCTTATCATTTGTATAAACTGACAAAAATATGAAACAATATTACATAATTTGTAGAAGAAATAAAACATTATTGTAAAGGAAAGAGTTAAATGTACCTTCTGAGCTACTCACCCATACCGAACCCGTTTCAAAGCTCATCATATGAGGATGATTGCAGAACATTAACGATTAATCGACTGTTTTATATGATTCTATATCTAACCTAAGAGAAATTATTAGTTTGTGGGTTGTATATTTTATTTAAAGATATTTTTTTTGGATAAACAGAACATTTAACTAGTAAGAAAAGATCAAACAAAATAGTAAAAACTTAATTCCTTTTTTGAAAATTCAACGTCGTTAGCTAATTAGTTGCATATTTTATTTAAACATACTACTTTGTTGTATAAAATATAAAAGCTTGTTGGATAAACAAGCATTTAAATTATTAAAAAGTTAAATAAAAATATTGAAAACCTAATTCCTCGTTTTAAAATTCAACTATAATAAGTTTAATAAGTAATACACTAGATTGAATATGTCATAGATATATTTCCTTCATCCGAAAAGACACGTTAAGGATATAATATTAATCATAAGACATCTCAAAACAAAATACATTGATCCATATCTATAACTTCTTTGTCATTTCGGATTAAACTAATTTTATATTCCCCTTAGAGTTATTTCTAAAAGTAATTATATTTTAACAAATTCAAACCACATATATTCCTCTTTGATAATTGTTTTGGTCAACCAGAACATTTTCATTTTTCAGGTTTTAATAATTTAATAAAAGAATTTAGAGAAGGAGGTGGGGCCTACAATGGCGGACTTGTATTTGCCGCGTAAAAATATCATAAAACAAAGTCCTCTTTTATTCTGCTGTATATATATACAGCTACAACATGTTGCACCTCTTCAATTTCCAACACAATTCTCTCTCGCCCCTTTCCCCCAGAAAACCCTCCTCTTCTTCACTCGATCAGATCTCACCATCACCATGAAGAAACCAAGCTTCTTAGCAGCCTCTATCGCCGCCGCTTCCGCCACAACTGCCATAACTGCCTCTAATCGCAAAAACCAAACCTCTCACCAGGTAAATCATTACGAAAACCATCTCGATTTTTGTTACTTCGCCTTCCGTTTTGTCCTTATTCCTTATACAATTCCTTCAATCTGTTTTCAACTTTTTACAGGATCATGGAGCATCGAGCAATTATAATGAAGATTCGTCGCCGGAGAAGAAGAGTTGTTGCTCGGAGAAATTTGCGCCAAGGTTTGATGGATTGAGGTTTATTGAAACTCTGGTAACCGCTCATCGATAACAGTAAGCCTATGAGATCGCCGATTTGATTAGATATTTAGATGATTAGATCCCTTTTCGGTTTCTTGTGGGTTAAGTTTGTTCGTGCTTCGATACTCCATAACCATACGTTTGGGTTTGGGCTAAAGGCCTTAAACAATGTTAGTTTTTGTATTGTTGGAGTGATTGGCTCCACAAAATGTAACATTAATTTGGATTTTATTCAACTTATTTTAGTTATATTCCCAAATCTCTGACATCGAAACTTATTTTTCACATCAAGTTTTGTTTAAAAAATTTCAATTTTAGATTATTTTGGTGCTGGAAAGTGTTATAACATCAAATATGTTTACATCATGAATTAAATTAATATTAATTTATTATATATGATATAATAGTTTAATTATTATATTTTATAGTTATTTAGTAATTAAATATCTCTAATAATTTAAAATAATATATTTAGATAAAACGTGGAATTGAATATATTTTATATATAACTAGAAAGGTTACCCCGCTACGCGGGGGCCAGAAGCTTTCAATGTTGTTTCCGAATTGATAAATATGACAGACATAGAAAGTGCAAGGATGAAAAGTCCGGGCTTTGCCCCGGAAAAAAAATGTAAAAGTTTTGACTGCAAGGACCAAAAGTGTGAAAATGGCTAAAGAATTAAAGAGGTAGGAATTAGCAATTTTTTAGAAAAGGGATCAAAGTTGTCAAACCGTTAAAGTATTGTGGCCAAACTTTAAATATTAAAAGATTCCAAAAAAGTGTAAAAATATTGATTGCAAGGATCAAAAGTGTCAAAATGGGTAAAGAATAATGACCAAAGTTGCTAAAAAACATCCAAATTTAGTATTCCTAACTTCTAACAATAATAGAGGGACTAATTCTGCCAAAAAAATAGGAAGTTGAATGGAACACAAACCCAACAATAATATATGGACCAATTCTACCAAAAAAATGGGAAGTTGAATGAAACACAAACAAAAGGACATGAATAAATTAATTAAAGAAGTACAAGGACCGGATATGTAAATAAAGGGACGAAACCTGGACAAAGTATCCCAAGTTTACTATTCCTTTCTTCCACACTTTACAAAGTTAATATAAAAAAGAGCCCAAGATCGTTTAAACAAGAACAAGCGCACCAGTCCGGTCAACCCAACTGGTTAAGTGATCGGCTGTTTTTGTCTTTTGTGTTATTTTTTTTATCTTTATTAATAAGAGAAATTAAATATTTTTTTATATTTTGTTCATATTATCCTTCTATGATGGTGACAATTAAATTTAATTTCAATTTGATTGGCATGTTAAATCTGTATATTTATCATCATCTTAAATAGATAGGAAAAAAACATAAACAAAAGGTAAGGAATGTATGTTGTTTAAGACTTTGAGGTTTCGTTTAGTTACGAAAAAACAGTTTTCATTTTTTGTTTTTCGTTTTCCCTTTTCATATTTTGTTTTCCGTTTCCGGTTTTCATTGGAAAATTTAAAAAACGCGTTTAGTTAAAACTTATTCATTTTTCATTTTCAGTTTTAAAATATTAGAAACCGTGTTTAGATGTGTACTTTTCTATCGGTTTTCATTTTTAGAAAACGGTAACGGCGGTAGGGTGGGCGTGGGGACGGTGGCGGTGGTGGTGTCGGTGATGGCGACAGTGGTGGTGGTGGTGGCGGCAACGGGGTGGCGGCGGTGGTGGCGGCGACAATTGTGGCAGTGGTGATGATGGCGGCGACGGTGGTGGTGATGGTGATGGTAGGTCGGTGATTGTGGTAGTGGTGTTGGGTGTGTGTGTGGGTGTGGGTGTGGGTTTGTGTGTGTGTGTGTGTTTGTGGGGTTGGTGTGTGTGTGTGTGTGTGGGGGGGGGGGGGGGGGGGGGGGTGGGCTTGGGAGTGAGTGTAGGTAGGGAAAAAAACATAAACAAAAGGTAATGAATGTATGTTGTTTAAGACTTTGAGGTTGTGTTTAGTTACGGAAAAACAATTTTCATTTTTTGTTTTTCGTTTTCCTTTTTCATATTTTGTTTTCCGTTTCCGGTTTTCATTGGAAAATTTAGAAAACGCGTTTAGTTAAAACTTATTCATTTTTCATTTTTAGTTTTAGAAAATTAGAAACCGTGTTTAGATGTGTGCTTTTCTATCGGTTTTTCATTTTTAGAAAATGGTAGCGGGGGTAGGGTGGGCGTGGGGACGGTGGCGGTGGTGGTGTCGATGATGGCGACGGTGGTGGTGGTGGTGGTGGCGACGACAATTGTGGCAGTGGTGGTGATGGCGACGACGGTGGTGGTGGTGGTGATGGTGATGGTGATGGTGATGGTAAGTCGGTGATTGTGGTAGTGGTGTTGTGTGTGTAGGTGTGGGGTGGGGTGGGTGTGGGTGTGGGTGTGGGTGTGAGTTTGTGTGTGTGTGTGTGTGTGTTTGTGGGGGTTGGTGTGTGTGTGTGTGTGTGTTTGTGGGTGTGTGTGATTGTGGGGGGTGGGGTGTGTGTTTGTTTGTGTGTGTGGGGTGAGCTTGGGAGTGAGTGTAGGTAGGTAGGGGTGTGGTGGGTTGGGGGTGTTAAGGTGAGGGTAGGTAGAAGTGAATGGGGTGGGAGTGGATGTTTATATTTTAGAAAAATTTTGGAATTAGAAAAATGTGCAAAACAATGATTATCGGTTTTCCAAAAATTTTCAACTTCTTTGTATTTTTAGAAAACGGAAAATTTTCGTTTTCCGTGAAAAATTTTCATTTTCCGTGAAAAATTTAGAAAAATAGACGAACTAAACGCGTTTTCAAAATTCTTATTTTTCTTGGAAAAGTTTTCCGAAAAACAGTCTATTTTTCTGCAACTAAACGTACCATGAGCCTTTCTTTATGACAGTTTTTCACTTTAAATAAGTGAATAAATAAACGTCATTTGTTTTTGGTTTAAATACACGTTTGGTTATCCAACATCCAATTAATACTAGTTACATAGAAAATAAAGATAACAATATATCGTTTAGCAATTAATGTTAGTTACATAGTAAATAGAGTAAATTACACGAATCGTCACTCGTCGAAGTGCCAAAAAACACGTTCAATCATTATTTTTAAAAATTTACTCGTATCGGCTTTATATATATAATTTTTTTTTTCACTTAGGTCGCCCCTGTGGACACAAAATGATTATTTTGTCCTTAATAATTTCTTTTTCAAAATTTTTATTTTGTTTATCATCATTTTCAGATTAAAAAAAATTAAAATAAAATAAATTGCCAACCCAACCTCTCATTGTCCCGTTCTTTTTTCGTGCCAGGTTTGTCTCCCTCAATTTGACCTAACCCTCATCCTCTCAATCACAAATTCCGGTGAGGGGTGGCGGTGGTGCTCCGTCATAATCATAGTCTCTGAACGTTGTCGGCGATCACCACTGAACCCGTCCCACCCGTTTCCTCCCCAAATATCCGACTACACCCTAAAAATCGGAACCCAAGAATCGCAACAGAAGAAAGAGATTACGAACGATGCTTCTTCGGAACCTACAAATCAGAACCTGCAAATCGAACCTAACTTTGTTACCCTTCTTCATCCCCCTCTCTCTCTCTCTCTCTCTCTCTCTCTTGTAGATCGATCGATACTTTCATCTCCTTTAACAGCTTCAAGAACCCTAACCCCAGTCCTATCACACAAGTCATTGCAGTTGGGTGAAGAAATCATCATCAACAACAACACCTACCCTGTTGCTGATCATAAATCAACGACATCAGAAGTTGAAACGGGGTTGAATTAGTTTATGTTCCCAAAGTCAAGACGAAGATGTCGAGTCTGGTAAAGTATTGGATCCTAATTCTGCTAAAATTCACGGTGATTCAGTTACAACTATTGCTGTTTCTCCCGGGTATAAATAAAGATTTGGAGATTAGGGTAAGAAATCGATGAATCTAGCTTGGTGGTGATGATGGTGGTGTATGTGTAGATGGATATATTGGTGGTTCTGGTATGGTATAGTTTTGGGAGATAGCTTTGGTGATGTCGGTGGTGGTGTACTGTTGGGAAGAAAACGAGGGAAGGGTTCAATGAAGGTGGTTCCGAGAGAAAAAGAGGTGGTGGTAGATGTTTGTGGGTGGTGGTGATGGTCCGACGGTGGTGATGAGAGTTTACAAAGGGAAGGGTTGGTATAAGGTAGCTCGGGTGGGGTTTTTATTTTATTTTGTGTATTATAGAACTTTAAGAAAAATTAATTAAATCAAAAAAAGAATAAAAGGGCAGAATAATCATTTCATGTCTCGGATGACACGTGTAATTTAAAATAACGAGGGATGACATGTGCAACGTTTTATCAAACGTGAGACGGTCCGAGTTAATTTTTGAAAAGAGAGACCGAACATGCCTTTTGACAACTACACGAGACACGATTCGTGTAATTTACTCTAGTAAATATCTCAATAGTGAGAAAATTAATATCCGCTTATAAAATCATTTTAAAAGGTACACTCTTCCAAGCAAGACTTGATAGAGGAAGACCCGATATTTGTAATTACCCAAAATGAAAGTTTGGATACTTTGTTTTCGGGAAAAAGACATAAAAGTCACTGGTTTATTTATTATTATTTTTTTCTATTTTTATATCATATTTTTTTTCTGTTACTATTAAGTCATTATTGTTTTAATTTGTTGCAATTCTGACCGGTTGAACGGTTTGCTTCAGCTCATCCGATTGTCACTGCTGATGTGACATGACGACGTGTTATAAGCGAAAAATAAGTGACACAAAAGACACTATGTTTTCATTTTTTTTTTGCGATTTTGACACTAAGTTTTCAATCTTTTTCAGTTTTGACACAAAGTTATTGTTTTTCTCTAATTTGGAATATAAATGAAATAAACATAAGCAAATAAATAATTGCACCATTTACCCGATGATATAATATAAAATATATGTACAATAAATTAAAAAAAGAATATAAATAAAATAAACATATGCAAAGACATTATGAATTTTTTCGTCGAGAATATGGTGACCGGAGTTAGGGAGATGCAAAAGATGATTTATGGTGAACAACTGGACGTTGGTATTTTGGTGAATAATGTCGGGGTGACTTATCTTGTGACTATAAGGTTGAAGAAGTTTGGATGAATGTAATGGAAGTGAATGTGATATGTATGAGTTTGGTAACAAGAGTTGTGATTCATGGAATGGTTAAGAGGAAAAGAGGTGTCATTGTTAATATTGGTTTAGGTGCTGTCATTGTTGTACCTTCACATCCTCTCTATGCGATCTATGATGCCAACAAAGTGTAAGTTGGTCGTTAATTGTCTTTTTTTTTCCTTTTAATTCGATCCATGGTTTTCTCTTTTTGTTTTAAGATCAAGTTAAAGTAATATATGATTTAATTTTGAGTCAAGAGACATGCACTAGGAATGTTTTTACGATCAAAATGCAGACATGGTTTTGAGTTATGAAAACAAGTTATTTACATACACGAGGCAAGATTAGAAAAATGTGGGAGTAAGGACAAAAAAGTTAGTAAAAGTACTGCATCAAGGAATACGTGAAACCTAAAGGGTATATATGTGACAGATTAAAGTTCTATAGTTCAAATTTTATTTACAAATATAAAATAAACAAAAACTATATACAAACGAAGATTTTCATTGGTGGTGGTGAAAATTGGATATGTTTATTTCATTTATGTTGCAAACCGGAGAACATCAAAAATTTAGTGTCAAAACTGGAAAATATTGAAAACTTAGTGTCAGAATTACAAAAATAATGAAAACATAATGACTTTTGTGCCACTTTTTTTACGCTTCTGACATGTCATCATGTCACGTCAGCCACGTCAGCAGTGACAACCGGATGACCTAAAGCAAACCGGTCAACCGGTCAAAATTGCAACAAATTAAAAATATAGTAACTTAATTGTAAAAAAAAAAAAAAAAAGTGTCATGATAAATAAGTAAAAAGTTAGTGACTTTTGTACCATTTTCCCTTTTCTTTTAAAAAAATTATTTGATGTTTATCTTGACAATATCGAACCACTTCAAATGTACAAGTTCTTCTCACCGTTAGGAGATAATTAAGCACGATTTTATAGTAACCTCATAAGTGGAGCTACCAGGATAAAAGTATAAAACTAAATACAGTTTATGACTATTTACAAATTTAACAATATTTTGGCACTATGGAAAGAAAAAATAACCATAACTTCTGTGGTTTGGCTCCCTGTGATTTGTGAATTACAAACCCGTCTGGTAGATTTGAAATCTACATTTTCTTATAATAACGTAAATGTGGTTAATTTTTGGGGTATGTATGAGACAGTTTGGTTTGGTTATTTGCCAAAACCAAGCCATAACCATTATTATTGGTTAATGCATTTTGGTAGTCATTGGGTATGATTAATATTGGTTATGGTTAATAATATTTGTCGGTTAATGGTTAATATTGGTTAACCATAATGTTAAAAAACAATATAAATGGTGAAAGTATATTGACATAAAAAAAAAAAAAGAATACAAAAAATTCATGGCCGCTAATGTTTGTAACCTAGCTTATAGTAATAGAATAAAATGTGTAACTTTGATACTCGAGTGAGATAACACATTGTCACATTCAAATTCAAAAACATTAAAAAAATTGACATTAATAATTTCATATATTGATAATTGATATTAACATTAAAATAAAGCCAAACACTTATACATGTTCAATGCGATTAAATCAAAAACTGTAAAGGAAAAGAGTCAAACATTCATATTATGTGTTATCTGGATTAAAAAAAGAGTTAAACATTCATATATGTTCAATGTGGTTAAGTCAAAAACAGTAAATAAAAAAACATCCAAAACAACCAAAAAGTACATTCTTAATATATCAAAGCTTTAAATCACAAAGTCGAGAAGAACAAAAAAAACATAACTTACCTAGAACTCTTGATTATAAAGTCAAAACATCCTTCGAATATGCCTATAAAGTCAAGAACAATCTTCGATTAGGATTACGAGTGTGAAGATTAAACTAATTGTGAATAATTTTTACAAATTGTAGAATTAGCCAATTAGGAATAACCGAATTAATCAATAGGCCCAATGCGTGATTGGATGATCACGTGTGTCTGTACGATCAACCTTTGATGGTTTGATTGCTCGTTCGTCTCTTGATAAGTGATGATTAATGGATTACATTTTGAAAATTTAGATGTTCTTGGATAACTTTTACTATATTATTTTATATATAATCTACAAGAACCCAAAATTTAAAGAGATTTGACTTTTAATCACATAATGATCAAAAAGGAAAAATGGTCATTTATGATTTTAAGTTTATGAAGTTGTGACTTCATGAAATCGGTCACGATAAGTTTAAGTCACTTAGATGAGATTAAATAAGTGAGTTTAAGAGAAGAAATGCATGAGAAGATGCATTTTAGGCCCAAAGGCTAAAATAGGAATTTTATGCTTTATGGGCCAACTTTGTGACTTAATAGATTAAGACTTGAATTAAGTCCGTAATAAGTGACTTAATGGAGTTGTGGAACTCATCCCCACCTTCTCATGGATATAAAGAACATAGAAACATGTTTAAGATGAAGAAGTTATGCGTGTTTGAAGATTGGAAGAAAACGTCCCAAAGCTGGAATGGGATCAGCTAAGGACGCTGCTAATATGCAGCCACCACGACATGGTGAGGTCCTTTCCATGGTGCAGTGAGATGCGATAGTGATTCAGAAGAGAGTCTCGTCGTAAGTGGAAGGCAATGTACTTTCCTGTGGCATGGTATTATGCAGTATCGTGGCGTGGTGGAGAAAGTTGGTTGTCATGCGGAAAAGGCACCGCGACTCAGTTACAGGCTGGCCGCAGCCAACTCACGCGTACCACGATGGAGTAAATAGATGACCACAATGCGGCTACGACATCAGAACATAGGTTATAACTTGTTAAAAGCTCATTACGTATCTTTTCAGTGGGAATCAATTAGAGAGCTTAAAGATGGCGATTTTGATGCCAAAACCATGCCAAGAAAAGATTGAGAAGGTGGATTACTAGGATTATCATCCTCTCCACATTAAGGTAAAGATTTTTTCCATTTTATCAAGCTTTTCGCTTTAATGGTGAATGTGTCAGTTTGGTTAGAATGGTTGAATTGATCAACCTATATCTTTAGTATGATGCTATTAAGAATGTCTAGAAGCTTTAACCAAGCTTTGGAAGTGATTTCGATAGTGAAATCCATCCATGGAAAGTTAGGGTTTGAAGCCCTAACTAATGAGAGATGAACTGATGCAACAAATTATAATGTAATGAATTAGGTAGTATGTAACGTCCCAAAAATAATGACATAAAATTTCGTTTTTAGATTAAATAAATCGTTTATACATATCATTTCCGTAAAACCACGGTAATCAAAATTTAGCAAAACATTATCGAATCAGAGTAAATCACAAAATGCGGAAAACGTGTGGTGTGTGCCCTGCAACCATCCCGAGTTCTTCCATTTGAAATATGGAGTACCTGAAACAGAAACTAAAAACCGTAAGCACAAAGCTTAGTGAGTTCCCCAAGATACCACATACCATAACAACATACTGCCGAGCATATCTGGGTGCTCGACCTACCCTGACAAGCAAATCTGGGTGCTCGACCTACCTTGCCGAGCATATATGGGTGCTGGCCTCCCTTTCCGTCTATTTCAACCGGATACCGGGTCTATTTCACCCCTCCCACTACCACATAATATCATAAGCAAATTATCACAGAAACCTCAACCAATACTGGCATACCAGAAAA